ACCGTTCCTTTTCCAAACACAGGTATCCAGGGAGAAAGGTACCCCTGGGTGTTTTATTCTCTGTTTAGCAAGAAAACAAAATGAGAGAAGTGAAATATTTAGAAGCCCTCCACGGAGCACATGAAGAACAAACACAGGTGAGGAAAATAAAACCCTCACAGTGGTGTGTTTGTGGAGCACCTGGGGCTCATCACTGTGACTGGCACAGAGACAAGTTTCATTAGCATTGCATGAAAAAGACGTGAACTCATCTAGCCATGAGTGAAGAAGTCTTGACTGCAGTTTTTTGGAGGAAAAAGCAATCTCTGCACTTTTGGGAGGGTAAGAGAAAATGAATACTAGCATTGCAAGCATCCTATTTACCTCCCCTCTTTCCCTGGACCAAGTGGCAACCCCATTTCTCTCTGTCTCCAGGGTGACCCACCGAAAGGACTTGTTTGGGTGAAGGAATGGAGGCCATAAATCATCAGGGGGGCATGTGGTGTGCACAGCTCACTCCTGCCCTGCTCACCAGTCTGATGGCAAGCACTGCAGTGAGCACCAGTACCCCCTCACTGAGCACCAGCACCCAAGCTCAGCTCTCTGCCCCCTTGGAAAAGGCCCCAGGGTGCCCCACTGGCTCAAGAAACAGCCAAGAGCTCATCCCTGTGCCAAGAAACAGCTGGCAGGACTTCCTTATCACGGGGATGTGAAGCCACCAAGGGGATGACTCTCATCCTGTCAAGGGAGGACCTCTGGGAAGGTGCTGTCCTTGTCCTGCAGGATGAAAGAGCTCCCTCAGCAGAGGGAGCAACCACCATACCGTCTGTTTCCCCAGGATATTGAAGTTACAGCTTTTACCAGACTAGACAGACATGCCTGGAGCTTGAGTGAAAGCTAAATATAGGAGCATCAGACAGTGATGACAGAAACACCTACCCATGTGGCTGCGCTCCATGACTGAGAAAAGAGCAGTCTAACTTCCTCCAGACTCACCAGGTAAGCTCAGAGGTTGCCTCTTCCCTCTTCCCTCCCTTTGGAGGATTAATATATACCTTTCTATTTCCTCATATATATCCTCTTTGCCTCAGGTTTCTTTCACTTATTAACCACTTTGGAGTTTCATCTGCTTTTTTCCAGGTTCTTTCACAGAAAGGAAACTCCACATCAAACTACACCTTGATGGTGGAGCTTTTTACTTGTTTTTCTGTTCACTTCTATCCCTTTTTACAGGCTAAGGTAGACAAAACCACTGCAAACCTCCCTGTTATTCTGGCTCTTGAAAAATGTGCTAATGGTTTTCCAAGATGGGTGTAACTCCTGTCACAGTCTACACCAACACCTGTATCCTGGTTTAAACCATGATTCTGTAATTTATCCTAATTCATTTGGCCTTTTTCTGGCATTTATATGCAGACTGGCATCAAAATTTAATCTGTTGTAAGGAGTGTGGCAGATGCACAAATCCTCAGCATGCCAGGCTGTTTCTGAGTGAAAAAATACAGGGGAATGGAGCCATAAGAATACATTCTTCAATTTAAAACTTATGTAGCAAACCAGTTTCAAGGACCAGCCCAGGTTATCTCCAGAGCTACAGTTCTAAATTTATCCAGAGATGCTCCCCTTCCCCCATCTGCATTTCTGTGACAGCTACCTACTTCTAGTTCAATGAACTAACAGAAGGGGGCTGAAAAATCTCACTATTGACTGCACACAACAGGATTTTTCTTTCCCAAGATTACACAAACTCTCCATAAATGTCAGTTTTAGAGAAAAAGTCTCCTCTTTAGTTAGCAAATTGCAGATATGCTATACTTTCTCCAAGGAAATTCTGTTCACTCAGACCATCATCTGTGTGACTGAACAGCCCTTTGTCTCACCCAGTTCTCATTCTGGGCACATCAGAACGATGCAGGAGGAGGTGGTCAGTGTAAAGAAACCTGAGACACCTGACCCAGGGTTAAGCTGAGCCTGTTCTGACTGTGCTCACTGTGCTCCCTAAAGTCACCCCAGGGCAAAGCCTCCATCCCTTCATTATTCAAATTCCATTTCCAGCCTTCCTTTTCCTGGTAACTGTCAACTCTCCCTTTGTCTGCTCTACAAAGAAAAGTTCCTGTAAAACCCACAGTCAAGCTTTAGGAATAGGTAGCTCAGGTTCCTACAGCAGCACCACTGCACTAGGAAAGATCAACAGTTCTGCAGGACATACAGGCACTCACCTGCCCCTCCATGAATCCTGTACAGCTGAAAAAGGACAGTCCTGTTTTCTCTGGAAATAGATGACTTTCCACTGACATCCACACCCACCTTAACTTCCCCAATTCATGCTCCCTGCAGAGAGCACACTGCCATTGTGCCGGTGGGCAGAGCCTCAGCTGGAATCTGTTGGGTTCATTCAAACAACCCTTGTCCCTACAAACACACCTTTTGGGGAAGGAACTGTGAATCTCCAAACTGTGCTTACATCCTTTTCCCTTTCCCTGTGCAGGGCTGTTCATCAGAACAATATGATTCCACTGAAAGAAGAGAGCAAGTGCTCTCCAGCAATATCAAGACTCAAGAAATGTAAAAACCAGAGGTGCAATTTCCCTCATCTTCTGGCTACCTCTGGGCACTCGGGGTGTCAGCTGCCACAGCTCACAGGCACAGGGTTGTAGGTCCCTTGCACTTTGAAGAGAAGGCAAGACAGAGGCTGGAGCTCAGAAGGAGTCTGGGCGTTCCAGGCAGCACCTGCCTTGGAACAGTCTCCTGGGACCCAGAACAGATCCACTTCTGTTCCCCAGCTCCCCTACCAGCCTCTTCCAAAATGCTTTCTGGGTGGCCCTTAAAGATGCAGAAGGCCCTAAGCAGAGCTTTCAAGCTTAGCTTACATGGGCAGTGTCTGCCCAACCTGACCCTCCTCTGCCCTTCCCCTTTTTCAACCACCAGCTCAGGAGGAGAGTGACACATTCTTACTGCTTTCTTTGTTCTTCATCATTTCCCTGTCTTTACCACTCTTCCCTGTTCAAACATTATCTTCTGCCACCATCTACCCACTGCACAACCAAAACCATTCCAGCTCCCAAAGTCCCCTCCCAGGTATACACGATTCTCTTCCATCTTGATCTGTCTGCATGATTCATCTTGTTTAAAGCAGAATTATTCTACCAGCAGCAGGCAGAGGAAAAGAGGGAATAGGTCTTCTTCCAGCTTGCTCCTGTTGCTGCTTCTCCTGTCCAGTTTTGTAGACAATGACCTGGTGAATTCTTTAAAGCAGGCCTAAGGTCATCAGCAGGTATGGAGAGTCCATTGCCTTCATAAATGCTAGTGAAATACATCAGAATTTTAAGAGTAGAAGAGGTCATTCTGATGATATTAGGTGAACCAGATACTGCAAACTGGATAAAAATAGGTATTCTTTCAGTATATTTTCTCTGTTTCTGGAATTCAGGAGGGTAAGCAGTCCAAGTTTCTCAATTTTAACAGTTATTGAAGAATCTGCCTTCTCTGAGTTCCAACTCATTTATTTATATATTTGGTTTCTAGCACAGCCTGTGGCAGTGAATTCCAAAATTAATTACATGCAATGGCAAAAAACCTCCTTTTGATTTAAAACTGCTATCAGATTTCATTGTAGCTGTGAGGGGAATTATGAATAATAGTCATTGCACATTGTTTCAGGCTCCAGAAGCACCTATCAATTCAATAAGAGCATTAATCTGACCACTTATAGATTCAAATATTTCTTGATAGATATTTCTAGATACATTGGGCTCAATGATGAAGTACATAAATGTGGATCATCACTAATAAATTGTGGTGAACTCTCACTCAGCTCGATGTTGGTGCACATCTGGAGATAAAAGCAATCCTGACAAGCAGTCATGGCCCTTTTTCTTAGGGAAGGAGCCCCCAAAAGGCACAGAGCTGACTGGGATCATGTCTGTAGCCATACAGACACTACTATTTTACAATGCTTCTTTCTCCCATACAACTGGAGGGGAAAATCCTGAAGCTGCTTACCTTAAACTTTTTTAAGTGACTCTGCAGTGCTGTTGAAACGTGAATCAAACCACGAAATACAACAGCTGCTCTTTAAATATTATTATTATATATTCCTCAGGCAATAAATTCAGCCTGGCTGGGAGATGCTAAGATGTTCTGTTTCCTTCAAGGGTGTTTGTCACATGTCACATCTGCAGGTGCTTTATGTACCCAGGACAAAATTGGGAGCTCCTCTGAGTTCTCAATACAGAATTTTCATTTCTCAACTGAGCAAGGGCAGGTTATGGGTTACTGCACTGGGAGGGGAGTTGGCATTATCCACTCCTCTCACCATAAGGAAACCTTTCAGCTGTGTGATGACAGGAACCATTAGAGGGATAAGCAGCACAGCAGCCCCCACCTGGTGGCAGCACATGCACACGGGACAGACCCACACACCGAAGTAATAAGAGTTTAAAATTAAAAAAATTTAAAAATTCTCAGTGTTGCTTATGTGAAATAAGTTCCATTATTTATATCATGCCTTTTTTTAATGCCAAGTTTCCTTTTCCAGCAGAAACTCCCATCCTTAATAGGTAAAGCAATGATTTGAAATCCTGCCTGTTTCATTTGTCCCCAAAGGTGGAACACTTCATTGGTGTACGACACTCTGCTGAGAAATCCTCTTGTCTAAGCCAGCTGAGATACAGTTTTTCTGTTTAGACCTGTCTCACTAAGTATTCTGTTTATAATTCCCAAGGATCAGTAAAATGGGTCTAAGGGAGTAATGCTCTAATAAGCCACAAAAATTGCCTGTTATACAGTAACCCCTCTGTTTAAGTACAGCTTAAAATAATTTCTTAGTTTAAGCATCCCCTTATTTTCCCCAAATCTGCCACTTCTTTATGGTGACCACTGATTCTTCCTGTCCTTAAGAGGATGACTGGATATTATATGACCTTCAAACAGTGAAGATGAATACTTTTCCATATACTGTTTTTGGATTCTTGTATTTAATGAATGCAATCACAAACCATTAATAACTAAATTTAGCTTTTATTAAGCATGACCGCACAACAGAAGAGACAAAAACATTTTATTTCACTTCTGCATTTTATTCTGAAACCACTGACCTCATTTTTAGGACTAAAGATCTTGCAGGTAAGAATAAGAAGAAAGAATGAAACAAGGTGCCAAGAATCAGTAATTCAAAAGCATTCTTCTTCCATACAGGAAAATAAATCAGGTTATGTTTTGCTATATGAAAAACTAATGAAAAAATTATATATCAAGTTGTAGTGTGCATCAGAACATAATCTAGATCATCAGTTTCCTCTGACTTCCAGTTTTTGGTTAGGGAAAACCCCAAACCCCTTTGTTGCACGTATTTTTGAAAAACTAATGACAAAGAAAACAGGAAAATGCAACTTGCACTTAAAGGGGAAAAAAAAAGTCATGCCTCTTGACTTATGAGCTTTTAGACATAAAATGAACAACTAAACCTAGATTTGCTTCATCTTTCATGTACCTTGCAATAAACCTGCTCAGAAGTATTACTGAAGTTTCATCCTGCTTTACATCAGTTTGTTTTATGAATAAACTCGTCCGCTCTAAGCCAGCAAACCTTAACTTTTTCAAAAACACACGAACACATTCCAAACTGTATTTCAGTACACTTACACTAATCTTAAGGAACAGCCTTGCAAAACATGCATCCAAGACAGAATTCATTTTTAGACTAGTTGTAATACCTCATCCTCTGAAAGACTTCTAGGAATACTTAATCATTCAACAAAACAAGCTTGTGGAGCTGATAAACACTATTTCCTCTTTCACGCTGCTTTTCAGACTTGTCAACAATATGCTGAGAATCCACCTAACCAAAAGAAGCAAGATGAAAGTCAGAATGCGTTTCTAGTAAGTTTTTCCTATATAACACAGTTTAAAAAAAGTCTTGAACAGTTTTGAGTTTCAAATCATACAGGAATTCCAGTTCCATGCCACACATTGCAACAAAAGAGCCAGTGCTGTATTTCATGGTTTGCCCAGAATACTACTCCAAAATCAATTCCAAAGCATTACAGGTGGTATTTTATGTGATGATATAAAAATGCTGTCCTGAGATTCTTCAAATGCAGTGGGGAAAATCCTGATCCAAGGCCTGTACATTAGCTTCTTATAAAAACTGAACACAAGTAAAAGTGAATAGGAGATTATCTTCATAATTCCAAGGATAACTGAATTTGAAATATGAAAATAGAAACACTTAGGCCTAAGGCAGTATATTACAATACACTCTAAAAAAATGCCTTCTATAAAACAAATGGCCTTGGTGCTCCTTCTCTGCCCTTCTTTTCAGAGGGAGGGACCCAAACCCCTCCTTTATACCCCCCTCAGGGTGGGAGAGGCACAGGGAGGGTGTGTGTAGCACTTACTCCTGCACTCAGCAATTCCTCACCTGCTTTTAATTAAGAAACTGCACTTTTTCTTCAGGAGATCTAGTGGCCTGAAGAGGCCCTCACAGAAAGAAAGGTAAAATTTCTAACAGAGTAGGAAGCTAGTAGAGTTTTCAACTTTATGAAACTCTGCTGGGTCTCTAGAAAACTGGCCTCCTGCCTGATCCCACCACATCTGTTCTAAAACAAGCCACATTTCTCTCCACCTAGAAAGGAAAAGCCACCTCAAAGCACAGTATCTCAAAACAAAACTAAAATGCACTGCATTCAGACAAATTCTATACAAGGAAAATTTAGCTATGGCTGCTTAATAGAAAAAAAGAACATTTTAACTTCCAGCAAATGTAAAGTTGCCTTTACAATCTCTCTAAACTTAAAACCCATAGAGAGTTCTGCTTGAAAAGATTAAGTATTTACATACACAAAATTAAAAACCAAACTACTCAACTAATAAACAGACTCTACAAAAAGTGTATCAACAGAGACTGATGCATACACAAAAGTGCTTAAATGTGACTCTACAGTGCTTTCAGTATTTTCAAGTTCAAGAATCAAAAAGAAGACATCCTTCCAAAGGAAATTCTCCCTTTTAACACTCTTAACTCCTCAAGAAAAAAGAAGTTTAAAAAAGTATCTTTACACCCTTACCTGATTCCATGCATATGGGTTCTCACACCACGTAGGAACAATTTTATCTCGAGGCCTTGATTTGCAGATTAAACTGAAATTACATAGAAATGGCCTTAAGTAACACACTTGTATTTGATTAATTATGAAGACAAAGGATTTTTTTATACTAGATACGACCAGGTATTTACAAGGTGTCTGTGCTGAAGGGAATCTTAAATTTCCTTGTTAATCTAGTCTGATTTGTTCACTTCTCTGTACTTCGTCCCTCTAGTGTAAAAGTCAAAATACACTTAATGTCTCTGTGAAAATCTGTATCAGAATGTATTTCTTCTAAAGAATATAATGAGGGTTTTTTATTACAAAGTACTAGAATTTGCAACTGTGATTTATTCTGTAAGTTTTATGTATGCTTACTCACTGGAATGTATAATACAGCTAGTTTTAGGGTATTTTATTTTGCATGACAACTCAATTACTATAGATTGTCTGTCTGCTCCAGTTATTTCCTCAAGCTGTGCAAAGTACAATAGTAGCAGACATTAATTAATTCTGTCTAGATGTGTTTTTCAAACACTGATTTTAGTCTTAAGTAGTAGTGACATGTTGTAAATACAATTAGCTTTTGAAAAATGAAAAAAAGTTATGAAAGACTGTTCAGGCTAAATTTCTACCTATGTACTCTTATGTTAGTTTTTTAAAAAAGTATAATTGGGGAAAAAATATTCAAAACCAAGAAAGATTTTACACAAGGGAAAAGAAGAAATCATTGCAATAATCAGACTGTTTATTCCTTCAAATATAAACATATAAAAACAAAATAAAATTTTAAATAAAAAAAATAGCTGTAGGATCATTGGAAGACAACGAGTAAAAGCATAAAAGTTCTAAGAGAGAAAAGGCTACCACAGAAAGGTATAAAATCCTGAAGAAAAAAAGCCCAGATGGCTGATGAGAATTACCAAGTCAGGCAGTTGGTGCTGACTGAGCTGGGGAACAGGTCAATGCTGAGGACCTGAACCAAGGAGCTGCACAGGCTGCCCCTTCCCCTCCCAGATGGCTGGAGATGTCTGAACAATCAGTCCCAAATAGGTGCCAGAACAGTAGCAAGTATTCACATGTCCAAAGAAATAGCAGTGACATTTTAGTGCCTTGAATTTTGCACGTAAGTGTTGATGACCGAGCACGAGCTGTTCCCGTCACCGTCACCTCCAGCGGAGGGTTTGTGGCTTTGCTTCTTTCTGCCTACCCACATTCCTTGACTTCTCTATTGTTTATGCTCTTTTAATTTCATTTCCAGTGCCTCAAAAGATAAGGCTGACCCTGCACTTGTTAATTTATCATGCAATACACCTGAACTTTGAGTTTTGGAAATAGGAAGTATGGGTGCTTGCTTTTAAGTTAAGGCAATGTAATGAGTTTTTTTCACATATAAGAAAGAAAAAAAAAAAATCAACTGAGCGGGTACATTAAAAACCAAGAAACACTTGAAAAAAAATCAGCATAAACAGCTGCTTTGATAATAATTTTGATAACCCTGGGTAAGAGAAGCTAAGTTTAAAAGCTTCTGATCTTTATCAACATGAGGAACTGCCTCACTCTAGCATCATACAGTTACTTTAGAAAAGCTCTACTGGCAAAAAAGCTCATATTTCCTAGAGATGAGGCTAATACTAGAGTCCATAACATAACTCTTAATTCATGTCTGAACCACAGCTCTTCTTAACACAGGTTTAGTAGAGAGCCAGGTCAGGATGAGAAAATGCTCCTGCTGATACAGACAGCACTAAAATGCACACTGTGTGTACAAACAAGGGAACATTTTTCACACTATGCTCAGCAGTGGCAGACATAGGAAGGAGCTGTTACAGGGATACTTTTTTGCACTACTTCCTCTAAACTACAAGCTGGATAAATTCTCAAGGTTGGCTGCACTGCCTCACAATGGTCTTTTCAGAACCACTGCCTGAGTTACAAGAAGCAGGGGGGCTTGCTGGGAAAAAGGGCAGGTAGCTTTATTTCAGTTCCTAAATTAGCCTGGGTCTTCCAGTTAACTTGGCCAACATCCATCCTTCACAGGTCTGCTGAGGGAGGAAAGGCAGCACACACGACCCAAATTTAATATACAGGGAGAAAGATTTTAAATCTTTCTGCACTCTTATGCCATAGGACTTCATTAGCTTTGTCCTTGGTGCAAAAAAAAAGATACATAAGAACTGGTATCCTGCAGAACAGGTTTTACAGTCTAGGTTTTATGACTCTTAAGTGATCGGGCTTCCCTGAAGAACCAGTGCTTCCACAAGAAGTCTAATGTTGTTTAGTATACTGCTTTATAAATAAACAAAGTAAATGAAATGCATCATTAAATGAGAGCATACATTATTTTTCCAAAGCCTCATCTGAGCTATGCTTCAAGCAATCATTCATCCTGTTTTTGCTGAGACTGCAAACAGATCTTATTTCTACAAAATTATTACCATAGAAGCTTCTGACGAATATTTTCCTGCAGCTGTATCATTTGCTCTTGTCCAGAATATACTGCACGTTCACAGAGCAGCTTATTAATGGATGTCCTTAAGTTGTTTATCTGTAAAACATCAGTGACAGAGTATAACCCAAAACCAGCACTAGGTTTGTATTGTATTACACTGTCATGAAGGTGGTCGTGGCACCCACACCATCCAACTTCAACTAGAATATTATTTGCGTAAGCAAAAACATCTGAAGCTTCAGAAGCATTTCTTCCTGCAGTTGCATCTCTGCTGGTCAAAGATGTTACTAGTTCAGCCACTTGATATCACAATCTTCAAGGTTACTGAGATGTGCCATAAACTACAGAGGCTACCACTTACCTGGACTTTTTCCATCACGGAATTCCTCCTGTAAAAGTTTTAAGAATATTCTCTATCTCTCCTTAATTTTCACACAAACAACAGCTTAGTGTTACCAGTCTGGATAAAGCACCATGAATGCAGACATCACACCAAGTCAGTGCTTTCAGCAAACAACAGCTCACAGGTGTGTGCGCCAGCATGTCCACTGTGTCCTTAAAAAACCTCTAGAAACCACTGGTCACCACCTCACATACCTGCTCTGTACACAGACCTGACCAGGGCATGTGAGGTCCTTCACTGGCTAAGGCCCATGTCACTGTCCTTCACAGCATGTTTTATGTACGTGTTTCCCTCTGACAGATCTCACTCTGTGAGATGCAAAAGGCTGTAATGAGGAACGCGGGGGCTTTATCATTTGTTTGGCTGATCTGCTCTGAGAGAAGCAGCTCGATACAGATGACTTATCAGAGCTGTAAAATCAAACTGAAGCCTGCAAAGCAGCAATGCCAGGCTTGTCAGTAAAAGCCATAATAATCCTACGAACAAGACTAACAAGTATTGACATCTGGTTAGTGCAAAATTGATGCTTTTGTTTTGGAAAGTGTATAAAATTCCGTAACATTTTATTTGTTTAAAGTGTAGGGAGGGGGCAACTGTCTCTCCTTATAAGAATCCAAGATTATAAACAGGCAGTACATTAAAAAAATCCAAACAAACAAAACCAAAGAAAAACCCAAACAAACAAATCAAACAACAACCCTCCCAAACTAACAGGTCCAAACAAGTTTTTCTGTTAATTCTGAGAGTTAACAAGTTCTGATGCACTGACTTCTACTGAATTCCTACTGTGGTGAAAATTCTTATGCAAGTTTTACCTCTATTATGTCTTCCACTCCAAATTGCACATCAAATGTCAGGGCCATATCATTTTCTGGAAGCAGTGGAGCCCCAGAAGTCCGACTCCAACCCAAACCACACAGAACACCAGTAAAATACTTTCCAGTTTTATCAACCCTGCATGAAAAAGAAAGAAAACAGTCTCACCTGGAGATGAAGAAACTAAACTCATATGAAGACAGACTTAAATGAACTTGTCTTAAGCCATGCCAAGCAAGATGTGTTTTAAAGATACTAAAACAACTGAGATGTATTCACACTCAGTCATACTGTTTTTTTAAAATCGAGTGATGAAACAAAACGAAAGTTCTGGTTATGTAAACATATACTCATAAAACTTCTAAAAAATCATACATAAGCAAAATTAAGGAGCACTAGCTTCACTGTGTTGAAATTACAATCTACAAATACCAGATTTTAAAGAAAAAACAACAGCAATGCAACTGCCAGAACTCAGCTTTTACAAAAAGTTACTGAAGTTCCTCTCCTCATGTAGGTTTAAAACAGCCAGTTCTACATTCCATTTTCCTAGCCATCCAGCACAACTGTCAGGAACTGTACTGCCTTATCACGAGGATAGAATCTGCAGCACCAATTCATACATACATGAACAAATTATTTTAGCTACATACTATACTAAAACTCATAAAAAATACCAGGATGAGAATAGATAAAAATGCTGAAAGCAGAGGGAAAAAAAAAAGTCTGTCAAAAATTTCTGAGGGTCCTAAAAATAAAGAACAACCACTTTTTAAAATGCACAAATACCTGAGTTCTATTGCTGGAGCAAACAGCATACTGAGGAGTGCAAGCAGGCCAGGAATAGGAGGCATCAAAGATGTTTCCCCTAAAAACAGAGTAGATCCTGACACCAAAAGAAAAAAAAAATTAAAAGGAGCATCTAATGAAAATGAAACCTAAAAAAGATGTAACACTGAACTACAGTGACATATTTAGTAACAGAACTACTCATAAAACCAGAAGTCTAGAGAAACCAACCACACATTTTTATAAGGCATTACCAGCTGCATTTACTGATATATCAGCAGCAACCAGCAACTGTTGAAAGGGATCTTCTGCAGTATCATGGACAACAATGGAGTTTATGCTCTCCTTACATATGAAAATATTTCTGGAGAAGAAATAATAAATATTTTCAACATTAAAAAACCCACACTAAAATCCATACAAACATATAAATGAAAGTGATTTCAAAGTCACAATGCAAACTCAAAATAGTTGTTACTGGTTATTTAGGTTACTTGAATGCCATTTAGCAGATGTATAAGATAGTTAATAAATCTCTCTGTAAGACAATAATGCACCTTTGATAAAACTATTCTTAAGATTTTAAAATAACCATAGTATGCATATTAATGCACTTCAGGCCTGACTACTTCATTCTTTTCAATGAATAAAAATGCAGTAAAAATCTGTAAGAATAATTAGGATGGGTTTTGCCTATTTATTGAAAATAACATCTAAGAATATGATTATACTTCACACTAAAAGTCTTCTCATACCTGAACCGGGATACCCTAGTCAGACTGTAGCATTTCAGCTCATAAGGACTGAACGGGCCCGAAACTGTTACCTTCAAAAAAAGGGAGAGAAAAATAACATTCTAGTTAGCCAGTACCTGGATCTCTCCAAATCAAAATTCTTTTTAAATGAAAGCCAAAATGCATTTCAGCATGTACTGAGCAACAGTGAGCTGATAAACTGATAAACAGCATTTCCATTGTAGTCATCTAAAGCAAACTTTGCTTGTTGAGGCATCTAAATAAAAATAATCAATTTTCACAGGTGCTGGAAATTCATTACTTTCCTCTGGCTTAGACACAAGTTCAGACTTCATAGATCACTTAAAATCAGGTTGGTTTTGTTTACATGAGCAGGCCTTTAATTTGAAAATACCTCACTTTATCAAAGTGAGTCGTTAAACAGGACTACTCCTGTGGGTAAACGGAGCATGATTAGGTTCTTGAAAGACTGAAATTTTGTCAGGTCTGAAACAGAGAAAGAATTAGAATGTAGATGAGGCCTAACTTGTAATCAGAATGCAGAACAGGAGAAACATTCTCATGTTTTACATTCCAACTTAGCAGTGATTTGACATCTGAAAACATGTAAGAACGAACGAATTCTGAGTTTGGAACTGGCAGAGGAAAAGTATCCACAGTTTCATTACTATCAGTTGCTGGAGAATTCGCTGCATCACTTATCCCAGCTGCCTACCTATCACTAGCTGAGGAAGAATGAAACACTATGTATAGTAAAAACCATGTTTAAATTTTCTGAAAAATTGATAGGATTGTAAACTTGCTTTTTGCTATAGCTTATGTAAAGAAGACTACCTATGGAAACACTGTGTTCAGTTTTTTACTTTTATGTCTGTTCTGCACTGGTTCAAAGTGCTGCCTTAGAATGTGTTAGAAGAGCTGGTTAACTTAATTCTAAGACTATACTTCAAAACTCTGTTAAAAGCTGCAGCAGTGAAATGGTGGTCACACTATGGCTTTCTACCAGCAGAAGGTAGGATGCCCTATGAGAGGCACCAATTGGTTGTTTCAGGTACTGTCAGTCCTCATCTCCACTCTAACAGTCTGAGAAGCAGGGTCATGTAATGACAGGACAAAACCACCACCCAAGTTACCTTATGGGTTGGCGCATCAGACTTATTGTCAGAAAAACAGTTTAACAATCTTCCAATGAGATGCTTTTCTTCCTGTCTTGAAGATACAGGCACTTGCTTTTCTTTCTTTACTTCATCCAAAAGTAACTCCTTGAGCAAATTGTGGCTTTGCTACACAATAGTGGAAGAGTGTTAAAACTTTAAAACAATTATGTCTTTAAAAAATTTACAAAACAGGTCCTACACAAAGAAATATTCTCATACAAATACGAAAACTGATTTTCCAATGACCTTTCAGATTATACAAAACATAAAAACGGAAGACAGTTAAAACTATAAAACAGCTATAAAACTATAAAACTATAAAACAGTTTCTCATAATTTCAAGTAACAGTGGAGCAGCTGAATTGATGAAATAACTTCCTGGGAAATATCTCTTCCAAAAAGGGTGTCAAAACAGCAATACTTTTGGCCAACAGCTCAATATCCATTATGCACACGCATAAAAATACACTGTCGTACTCAAGTATTAACCTTGCCTACTCCCAAGCCACTAGTCAGTGCTTCAGCTCAGCTTCTCAGGACTTCAGGCAGCCTGAACCGAAATAAATCAGAGTAAGAAAAGCAGAAGCAGCTCAGTCAACACGTACTTGTGATTCGTACGATTCTTCTGCTAGTTCGGCATAACGTTCCTCAATAAGCACGTCTCGAATGTTCACCAGGTCTCTGCACCTGGAGTAGCGGAAAACATCCACGTGCAGGACCCCGTGCACGGCTGAATACACGTGCACCAGCAGACTGCAGCCATCGACCAGCGAGGCAAATCTCTGGCTGGCGCTGTAACTCCACCGTTCCCCACACACGATCGATCTGGCAGACGGGCGCATCTTGCATATCTTGAACTCTAAAGCCTGGAGCAAAAACATTGAAGGCAACACTTGCCTGAGTAGGGAATCAGCAGGAAAGTATCTCATTTCCTCCCCAAACCGTCTGAATTAATAACTGTAAATTATTTCATAATTATTGTGGCAGCTTATGTTAATTCCTAGGACTGCTGTAAAGCTACTGGCATTATTCCTATTCCATCACTGACAACACAGCTGCACATGACATCTCATATCCCTTCAATATAGTATGTAGTTGCTAAGGAATAAGAGCAAACAGTGCATAAAGGATAATTTGGTATTAATTCACTATTCACATTGAAATCTTAGGAGCACAGAGATGTCTTCTCTGGAAAAAAAACTTCACAGTCCACAGTTGTTTTCAACTAAGGTAAGAGAAAACTTAGCAAGACCACTGCAGGTCTTCTGTCCCTGGCAGGCAAGAGTAATTAATTTCTCATTTAACCCCTTTCCACAATCACTATCTGTAATTATGTCTTTGAATGAATTTACAATAGAAACCCTATTTTTTTTCTAGCCAGTCTTTAAAACTAGTGATTAAAAGATTAGGCCTGAAGCAGAAATAAATTTCCGTTTAATACAAGTGTAGAAAATACAAAAAAAAGGATGCTTCTTGTGAAAATTATTTCTACTTATTTTTTTACATCAATTATAAAAGAAAACTGAAGAAAATTAACCCTGTCAAGATCTAATCCTAAAAAGAGATCAATAAAATAAAATCATATTTCTGCTGGTCCACTTCTCATTTTCATCAACACATGCTTCAGAGAATACAGTTAATACAATACACCTATTTCCATTAGCTTAAAAATATCTCGAGGAGCACTGAAAAGCTGAATTTCAGTTGAAGTCTATTTATTTGTAAATACAGCTCAAGAGAATTATTATTCTGAAAAACTAGCTACAAAATCCCTCACACTTGTGTTACGGGTCACTTGCTCTGTAATATATTTAATCATGAAGAGACTTCTGCCTGAAAAGGTCCAAGTAAAGCCAGCAGTTCAAAGAACAGTAAAGCGGCACAAAGCAAAACCACAGACCTCTAGCTTTGCAAAATTTAAAAGAGGTATCCCCCTATGTATTTGTCTGGTAATGTAGCAGAGCAGGAGATCTGATGGAGCAAAAACACTCTGCACAGTAACTGTACACAAGGTACTTGCCACAACAGACTTGTGCCATGCAGACAAGCAGAGATACTGTGCTGCCACTCACCTGCAGTAGGAGCAGCTGGGTTTAAGCAGGGATCTATAGATTAAGCCAGCCATTGACAGTTTCTCCTCTCTGGGCTGTATAAAGTACTGACATTTGCTCAGGTGTTCTTTAAACTAAAGCAAAGCTGATCTACTGCTCAGCCTGTCACTCCTGAGCACTGTGTGAGGATCCAGAATAACATTCTCCTACCAGGGAGAAGTTCTACTTCTCATAGAACTGACTCACAGCAAACAAACAACAGCAAATGGCAGCTCTCTCCTTCCACTGTTCCTGTGATTACAGGTGGAAGACACATCCCACTTTGCTGTCCCCATAGAAACAGGACTAGTTTCAAACATTCAATTTAAAAAAATGAATACCAAATGCTATATACATCCAGTCAGGCAGAAAGTTCAGGGTTTTATTTTTTAATTTCCCAATTTTTTTTCCTTTTTTCCCCCTCTAGGAAGGGCCCCTGAAAACATAAGGCTGGACTGACATTAAATACAACGTAGTTCAATTAAATACAACGTAGTTCAGTTATACACAATTCCTACTCCATGAATATACATCTGTGGAAAACACCTAACTATCAGCGAAGGTGATTTGTAGGTACTTGCATCAGCAAAATATGTATTATTTAATTATTATTCTGAAAAGCATTCTCTGTTTTGAAGCACACTCCTGTTTGCCAGGCCAGACACTAAAATATCTAGTAAGCAGCAGCAAAAAGCACCACCCCTACCTGGAAAGGAATCTCTTGAAGACAGCTTGGAATCTCTTTTAATTTATTTAAAGGCACTTCTGATCTATTGCCATAATCCACAAAAAAAACCTGGAAGAAGAATGAAGAGTATCTGGAAAGGTTCCACAACATTAAAAGTGCTATTTTAGTGACAAGAAAAGCCACAACTTGAGTTTAATAATTACAGTACAACACAATCTTATCAAGTGACATGGAAGCAAATTCAAAGTCTGGAAAACATGCAAATGAAGTCATGTCAAAAAGAAAAGGTCAAAATTTATCATGCCTGTTATCTGATCCCTTGGCTAAAACATCCACTTCTGATACAAATAATCCACTAAATCTAGAAAAGGCAAATTTCTCTTAAAGGCCCTAAATTTTCTCCCCACAATTAAAGCTATGTAACCTTACTTCTTAACAGTGAGTGATACCTACCTAATTTACTACCTAAATACTGCTTTTAGATAAGCTAATGTGAACATGTATCCAGTGACTGTTTAAAAATTCAAAACAGAAAGTGATGAGCACTATTATTCACTAGCTTTCCATGACTAACCAGATAGCAATATTCAGTATTAACTCAAGTGGTGACACCCAGATAGGTTAAGAAATAAAAGAAACTCAAAGGAGGAACTGGCTGTGCAGAGGTCAATCATACAAAACTGAGAAAAATTGTCCTTTGCTGAAAAGTATTAGCCTGAAAAATTAGTATCAATCTTGAACTGTGACACTGAGGTCAAAACAAAGTTGAGGAGTGAGATGGAGACCAGGAGAGTCAATACAGTATGTGAGATGAGAAAGAGTGCAGCTTGCTTCAATTAACAAAAGGGAGCGCAGGACGAAAATGAGACAAGTAACTAGAGGGGAGAGGAAGAAAAGAAGAGATGCCAACAAGGGCAAGAAACACTGGCAGAACAAGCTTAGATGAATTTGCCATGAATGACTAAAAATTGCCAATACAATGGAGACAAGAAACTTATTTTCAGATGGCTCTCACCATATTTATGACAAGGAAGTAATGGGGCTCCTGCCAGCAATGCACGACTGTATCCAAGCATTCCTTGCCATGTTTTCAGATTTACTGGAGGTTTTAGCCTTTATTTTGTTTTGCTTTGCTTCAGCACACAAAACCCTTTACTGTATCCAACTAGAGCGTCTCAATTTAATACTAAAAAATCTCATGTTCTGGAAAAAAACATAATTAATCTACTCTAGCCAGTGATTTGTAGAAAAAATAAAGCAAAGCTCCAGGATTGTTAACCCAGTTACATCCTATCAACTTAATATGACATAGCATATTACCTCAGCAAAATCTCCATGAACATACAGAACACAAGCTCTGTAGTATCCTCTGTTTTCCAGGTAAGCGAATGGTGCCAGACAAAGCAAATCTGGACGTGGAGGCACTGATAAATCCCTCAGGTTCTGATAGTTGATTTCAGCAGTTAGAGCCTCGAGTACAGTCCTGTTTTTTTCATCTATCCTGTAACCCCAGAAGTGTCCAACTTCTACTATCTGAAAGTAAAGTTAGACAAAATCAGAGTTCATATTATTTTATACTTTTACATCAAATACAACATTCATCTGAGCAAAATACATGAAAGCACTCCTATTTCTAACACACACAGCTCACATACTGCAATAATGCAGTGAAGCATTTGTCTCATAATGTTATCTGAAAATGTTTATTTTCTGTGCTACTGCAATAAACTTTTCATCTGAACAGATTCATATAAGCATTACTAAAAACCAGAAAATTAATCAAAGACTGCTTCCATTTTTCTAAACCAAATTAACATCCAAGAAAATCAAGGCCAACAGTTGATTAGACAGATGCATACAGATTTGGTGCACTTTTCTTATTAGTGACAGAATACCAGTTAGCTACATCTATCAGCAAATCAGCATTGTTACTGTTATGATTAGCCATACTTTAGGAAACTGGTAAGAACATACACCTTTTTAAATAGAACTGATTAAGTCATCTTTTCAAATGGCTTACTGAATGCACAGAACCATTTCAGATCTTATATCAAATGCTTGTGATAAAAACCAATTTTTATTTACAGTCATTAAAGCTGACACATTGAAACAGAAGTAGCACAAGCTAAGTGACTGCAATGGGTCTGATCAAATTCATTAACATTTTTTAACCAAGAGACTTAGCTGAATAAAAGGAGGAAAATATTCTTTTCTGCACTTGCAAAACATGCCACTACCATCAAGAGCTGTTTTACTACTTCATCCTATCACTTTCCCTTCCTCAGGGGGTTTTTATTATTATTTCTATTTTGGCAGAATATATATTGCTGTTACTCAACTCTAGAAGATGATAGTTAACACAACATTTAAAAATTCTCATCTTCAGATTTCAGAAGTATATATATACACATAATTTTCTCCAATACACTTTTATGCATATTTTTCCAAATAAGCATATACTACCATTAATTCATCTCATTTGTCATATGTACAGTTTCTGAAGAAAACTGGCAGGTAATAATAACCAGGTAAATGGCCTAAATACCTACTAATTCTCATTTCTGTAGTTTACACAAGTATTTTACCTCTTTTCCATTAATCCGCTTCACATTTATTCCTACTTCCAGCTAATATTTACTGCCAGCAAATCCCACAAATTCTGTCAAGTGCAAACATGTGAGTACTGTTTAACAAAGAACTACTAAAAATTAGACCAAGAATATTCTCCGTGCTTCTGACAGATACTTCCTGCTAAAAACATTATCAGTACCCATTTTTTTGATTTAAGCTTATCAGATATTAATCTCTACTAAGCTACCTAGGTGCTAATTATTAGATATGACCTACTTCAGATGTAGAATATTCCTACCTCCGTTATCTTGATGCACAGAAAACGACTTGGGATCATTGACATTTCTAAAGCACCAAATGAGATTTCCACAGGCTCCACTGTCTGCTTCTGACAGTCTACATTTACTCTAAAAAATGTATGGAATAAAGATGCTAAATGCTTCACTCATAAGAGAAAACTCAAGGAATCAATTTTTTTTACTTTCATTTGCTTCTCAAAGTGTCCCTGGGGCACATTTATGTACTTAATGACTTTTATTTAGGAACGCATGAATTCAATTAGAATGTAAAATGACCACACAGAACCAAATTACTACTGAGTTAACTGTCTGAATTGCATTATAACCAAACACAGAAAGATACATACCAGGACACAATTGTGCCATCAACTGATTAAAAATACAAAGAATTAAGGTTAAACAGTGAGACTTTTTGCTATGGCATGCCTTCTAAGCTTATTTTTTTAAAACAGAGTACACAACAACACAAAGATAAATTCAGCAAATTTTTATATATGAATTCATATATATAAAAAATATTCCTTTTACTTTGCAAACGTTAAGAACTCTAAAATTAAGTCTTTCAGCCTAGGAGACTTGACTTTCTCAACAATTAATTTTCACAAAGATTTTAAGTGCTCTTTTGGGCACAGTGAAACTGCTACAATGCTTCATTAAAAACTAAGTACAATCAACTGGATGTGAAATATTTACCCGTACTTTAACCTCACCAGTTCATTCCTGCCCTCCTATTTTAGATTTCTTGTTTTAAAATACTAAAGTGGCTGCTGCCCAATCAGGAGCTAGGCAGATTAGCATTTTATCAGGTTACTATATGCTGTGATTCTGAGCTTCAGGTCATACAAGTAACCAGGAAACCCACGTGCCAGATTTTCCTAGCAAAAGCAGGTGTGGACCATAGAGACTCACTAGATTGCATTCCTCAGCAGTATTTTCTATTATGTTGTTACACCTTATGTTGGTAGGTTTCCCCACAGTTTCTGTTGTCATAGTCCATCTCCCTCCCTTTCTTTTTTGTCCCCAAATGCCACTCCTCAATTATTTTGGTCATAGCAATTCCCATGTTGCCTCTGGCATGAGCAGTGTGTACACCCACACTTCCATATGCCAAAGGCAAATGGAGTAGAATCTTGGGGAAAAAAAGAAGACTGTATATGTGGAGTTCTCTTCAACAGTAAAACACCTTTAACTACACCAAAATATTTAAGACAATCACATTATTTCTAGTCCTGCAAAAACACTGTGCTTAGACAAAGTTTACATCTGCTTTTTGAACCTAGCATGTCTTCTTTGGTGATGCTTCCAAGGAAATTTCCACTGAATCCAGCAAACCTCATTTCACTGCAAGGAAACACATTTTCCATACAGAATACAATTACCTCAAAGATTCCAAACTTGCAGCTGCCACACCTTGCAATTGTTTTCTGATATCATCTGGATGATGAACATCCAGCTCAAAAGGAATCTTCAGTTTTAACATCTTGATTGCCAGGTAGACTTCGGGTAGAACCTTAAAGGCCTCCTTTGGATTGCGGGAGAACTCCACAAGAGCCCTGTTCACACACACACCAAAAAACCCCCAAACCAAACAAAAAACAGACAAAAAACCCCAACAGCAAACAAACTTTAATTATCCTGATGAATATAAGAAAACTTTCTAACATTCTTAGAAGCACATGCCAAATTTAATGAGCGTATTTAATACGAATAGAAAGGATGTCAAAATATATGTGAATAAGAAAACAACTGAAGATTGGAAAAGGAATAAGAAGGGCTACATGAACTCAACTTCAGGCAGTTATCAGCCAAAGTCAGCCTGATGATTAGCTAAAAAAAGCCATCAGACTGTACAAATGAGCTAAATTGAGTATAAAAGTTAGAAATAAATACAGACATTAGTTGCAGTTAAGGTCCACCATAAGAGAACAGAAGAGACAAAACAGAAGGCTCTACTTTAGATAGTTTACCTAATGTTATTCCAACCAAGGTACATCATACTTCAAAACCACCTTTTTAACTCTAGCCAATACACTATAAATAAGTTTCTGATTCCAAAGAGAGAAGAAAAACTAATTTTGTCAGTATATCATTGACAAGGAAACTGATTACTGGATTTGTAACTGAGAACATGAGAAAGACAGAATACTTAAAAGCACTTCACACTTACTTTGATCCGTTATAGGCAATAGATTTTACTTGCCCACACTGTCTAAGCTGTGACTGCAACTGTTTATGGTACAGATATCCATAAGGAGGAATATTCCTTAGCTGTTAAGAAAAAAAAGTTAAATTTGGATACACTCAATTGTTTTAATGCATTTTAAAGTTCACCTAAATAGTCAGCTTTCTCCTTAACTTGACATTGTAATAATGATATACAATCTAAACCCCCAAAAATTCCAAAAACGCTACAGTACATATAAAAATGTCAAAAGACAATGAAAAGCATAGTTTTGCTGCTAGTGATGCCCTACTGCTTCAAAACAGTAGATAAATGTTTTCTTTGTCTAACTATAAATGAAGCAGATTAATTTGTAATTATATATCTTAACTTGATATTTTTTCCAAAAAGCTCTCTTGTATCCCTGGCTTTGCTTGTAACAGAAAAGCTAACTTTCTCTTAATTAATAATCTCTCATAGGAGATCCTGAATTAATACATAATCATGAAATCCTAATTAGACTTCGAACTATTTTTCAGGGGCTATGCAACTGTCTATTCTTTTCTTTGGCTGTTACAGCCTTAGACAGGAAAGACCAGGTTATTTTTAGAGAATCTTCCTATGCCTTGGAGTGACATAACTAAAATCAGCTGCTAGTCAAAAACATGGTCTAGGTTAGACTGCAGAAACTGCCTCAAGGCAAGACGATTTAGAGAGACCAGAGAGTGGGAAGAGTAATTCCTTTTTAATTTCAGCACACACCATTAGGAGCAGCATACAGCTACAAGAGTCTCTCAGATTATGAGCTTGAGCAACTTGCAGCATTTGTGCCCAAGATGATCATTTACCTTGATAAAGACACAGCAGCTACTTCTTCCTTCTTCAAGGTAACAAGCAGTTGATGTACGAGTAGATGTAGAGTTAAATATATTAAAAGTAAGTAGCTCCTTAAATCTGCCAGTTTAATCTTAATCAATGCTGCTGTGGCAAGACTTGTCTTTATTCTACAAGATTGACTCTAATCTGATATTTTGCTTCAATATCCTTAAATAATATGGTAAAAACTTCAAAAGCATACATAAATATGTTTGTGCAGGCATGTTGCCATGCCAGCATCTCCTTCAGTACAGAACCAGCCCCTCTTCTTAGGTAAGCAGTGAAGTGCAAAAAAAAAAAAAAATCACTTTTCAATAAGATTTTCTGAGTTTCTCTCTTACCTTTTTATCTATTTTCTCTTGTGCCAACAGAATTCTATTCTTTGAGGCTCCCTGGTTTGTAGGTTTGCTTTCTTTAAGCATAGGTCATGGTTATTTTACTAGTTCAGACACACCAAACACTTTCCTAGTTTAGAGTGTGCACCATTTTGCAAAATAAACAGACATTTAAAACTTGCACTTATGTAATCAGATGAAAAGTAATTTTTGAAGATAAAAAGAAAGTTCAGTGCAATACGTGAGTAACCTTAAAGCAACAAGCATGTATGCCATGCACTATCAAGCAGGTTACAAAAAAAGTAACACTGAAGTTGCAAAAACACATTATGTAAGTACTCACTGAAAAGTACCCTTGAGAGTGCTGTTGTATTTTTCCAAATATTTTATTAGTTTGATGGAAGTTGCTAGTCTTGCACAGGTAAACAATCAAATGCATAGAGGCAGTTCTCAGCAATTCTTCTAAAATTGTCCACCCACATAATGTTTATTGTATTAAAAGGGAGATGGGAGGGAAGAGAGTTTACCAAGCAAGGATTAGAGTAGATAATTATTTCTGTCCTTGCCCAACACAGAACAGAACTTGAATATACCACCCAAACACTATGTATTCCTATTACTTAATTCTTAATTAAGTCATTCACCTTCTTAACATACCATTACAGTGGTTTTTGGATCTTTGCCAGCGAGCTCTTTCGCAGCACTTTTTTCATTACATTCTCCAAAAGTAAAGTAGTTGGGATAGAAAGCACCAGCTATTACAACCTGTATCGAGAAAATATTTTGTAAAACGCAGCACATTGTATTCAGTTTCCTGAAAAGAAATACACTGGCAACATTAAGAGACACTAACAGATCTTTATGGATATTTTTTTACTGTCTCTTTCCAGGAACTACTGGAACTGCAGACTAAACACTAGTTCATGCAAATCCTTGAAAACATACTCTCATGAAAAGAGTTCAATTTCTGGAACAAGTCCACAACATTTCAATATTTCTGTATGCAGACTTGCTCTATGAAATCTGTAATTGTTAGTCCTAATTTCAGGAAGAACATCAACTTAAATAAACACACATAAGATAGTCACAGGTAAATTGTTCCATTTTCAGGTTACATCTTACGGTATTTAAGAATTCAGCTTCAAGAAGTTCACTGCTTACACAGTTAAAACAACTGCCATTGAGAAGATAAATATGTCTGTGAAAATAAAATCACTGCTAATCAGATCAAGTAAGACAAGAAAATTAACTGGAAATTTGATAAAGTTAAGATAGCTGAAGGACATCTAATTCCCAGCACCCCCTCCCCACTACTAACCAAGACACAAGGCATTCAAAACAGAGCACTTCAAACGAGTGATAATGTCATTTTCAAATAACTAACATTAATTGTCCTTCTACATTGTCAATACACTGTCAAAAAGAATTACTTTTTTCTCTATCCGAAATCTCAATTTCCACAGAGAATTCTGAAACATGAGTTCACCAATACTTGTATATAAAAATCCAGCTATAAATTTTGTAAATAATGTCTCTTTATGACAACACAGCATTACCTGCAAAATGAAGCGTTGTTTGTTCACATACTCCTGGTCCACAGCAGATGGTCGAGCATTAACATACATGTTAAAAGCTCTGACTCGCCTTTTCAAGTTGTGAAATAACTCTGCCACCTGAAATTTGATCTCTAAGTTACATTTTAAATAGGTCAAAAACATCCGCAAGTTAAAATAAAATTTGTCAGTAAAAGTAAAATAATTGGGCAAACTCCCTTTGCCTTTTAGGTGACTAGTGTACTTTTCACCAAAATACTGCTTAGCACCTCTGTGCTGGAAGATAATTTCAGTACTGTGACTCAAGCAGTTTTCCTGACACCTCTTTATGAAGAAGAATTTTGTAGTCGCAAAGCATATTATGCATATATGATATAGAACAAAATGAGGAAAGAATAGGATGATATTCTCCATTTAAATCATTTTAGGTTTGCATCTTAAAAGGTAAAAATCATGCTTACAACCTGGACTTCTGTACCTAACTGCAAGCAGTGACTATGCTGCACCCTCAGTTCAGCAGACAACCATGATTACTGTGAGATCAAACTTATGCTCTACAGCAGAACATACTGAGCTTTTCATTTTCAGCATTTCCAAGAAGCTTCCACAAGGTCCTCCAACCACACAGTGAATACTGTCACCCTCTCAACTGATTCTGGAGCAAATGTAGAAAAGTACAGTTCACTCAACTTCTTTGTATCTACACTGTCTCTTCCTTTCTGCTCCTGGCAGTTTTAGGATACTACTAGAAGAACTACTGTAACAAGAAAGCAACCCATGTGACTGACTCAGTTCTGCAAATTCACTTCCACACAAGGAATTATAAAATTAGTATCTTAAAGTGTGGCAGATAAAAACCCCCAAATCTTACTAAGTGTTAGTGTAGTGCCCATTCTAAACTCCTTACATGTCATGCACAACCTCTTCTTGCATTATCTGAAACTGAACCAAGAGAGGCAACCGTGTAAGCCTGATCACTCCACTGTCCAGTTCTACAGAATTTGCCTTTCTCTCATCTTTTTGCTGTTGTCACATATATATGCAAAAAAACTATTGGCATTTTTTATCCAGATGGTTGCTTGTTATCAAAAGTTTTTTATATTTCCTGTGTTTTTTGAAGACAGGTCCTGCATTGCTCATGCCAAAGGTATGAACAGGTGGAATAATGGGCAGGCCATTCTGCCAGTCACAGGTACCCAGGAGTTTTACTTATTTCCCCCTCAACATATCACATTCAGCTTGAAGCCCACTGTAAAGCAGAATTTTCATTAATTGCTGCAGTAATGTCAGCAACAAAGTCCCACAAATTTTCAAGTCCAGGTCTCATTATATAACTGCATTTGCTTAGTTATCCTAACCAGGAGACAGAAGTTACGTAACAACAGACAGCAGTCACACCACAACCAGTGACCTGAGTAACCTACAAAACTAGCAAATGCTGGAGGTCTCTTAAAAATATGTTAATAATTTAACACCACTCTGTTCATCCTAAAGAAAAGGAAAACTGCTTTCTTCTAAATTCATATATCATTTCAAGAAAATATACATATATATTGATAGATACATAACACAGTAGGCTTGTCTAAGATCTTAACATTTTCAGAAAACAAGGGAAGTCCTTCTGCTTATAAAACTGTTTACCTATTTAATCTTACCTCTTTCATCCTCTTGACATGAACACAATTTGATCGACCCCACTCATACTCTTCCTGAAAAAGAAAGTTAGAAACTTGTTTCTTCTGCTGCTAGTAAGCTTTGTCTCATACTCTTCTGTGAGGACATAAATAATAATTACATATAGCAATAGAAGAATGTAATGTAATTTCACAGCTTTCTTTGCATTCATATTAAGTATTATGACATGTATGAAAACATAAGACAATTATATATTTGACTAAAAGTATACTTTGGTTACCACCAATGCAGCTGTGCGTCATGTAAATTTTTCATATAGACCCACAAGTCCAATTCCTCTGTGTTGCTACTACAAAATCTAGTTTAAGATGGACAGCAAGAGAATCGTAGGCATGCTAAGGTTTGAAAAGAACTCCAAGATCATCAAGTCCAGCCATTAACCCACCACTGCCGTGTTCAGCAATAAATCATGTCCCCAGGTGCCACGCTCACACAGATGGTGGCTCCACCACTCCTCTGGGCAGCCTTTGCCAATGCTTTCGGTAAAGAAATTTTTCCTGATATCCAACCTAAACCTCTCCTGGCACAACTTGAGGCCCTTTCCTCTCCTCTTACCACTCGAAAGAAAGGGCCAATCCCCACCTCACTACAGCCTCCTTTCAGGAAGTTGGAGAGAGTAACAATGTCCTCCCTGAGCATCCATTTCTCCAGATTAAACACCCCCAAGCTCCCCCAGCTGCTCCTCGTAAGACTTGTGCTCCAGACCCTTCCCCAGCTCAGTTGCCTTTTTCTGGACATACTCCCACACTTCAATATCTTACAGTACTTTCTACACAGCATTTGAGGTGCAGCCTCACCAGTGCCAAGCACAGGGGACAAATCACTTCTCTGGTCCTGCTGGCCACAATATTGCTGGTAAAAGCCAGGATGCCACTGGCCTTCATGGCCATCTGGGCACACTTGCAAAAAACCCAGAACTTCTTTATCTGAATGTATAACTTCACCAGAGAGATTCTGGTCATCTTGGCTACTCGTTATAACTCAGTGTACACTACACACTGGTACCCACAAAAGATACTGTGCTCTAAAAGAAGCAGAGAAATAAAAGAGCTTTTATCTTATACACACAAAAGAAAGACTAGAGGCAGTTACTGTGTGCATACTACTGGTTTTTTGTGACTGATGCATATAAACATCTCCTGTCTTTCAGGGTTTTTTGAGAGGGCAGAAATCTGTGTGTTTAAAAAAAAATAAAAAGAGACACTTATGTGTATTAAAAGTGTTTCTTTCAACTACAGCTCAATTTCCCTTTTTAGCTTGGATTTCAAACCCTCTAGCCATTGTTGATTCATCTGTGAAAGGGACTACATAAGGGATTGTCTTCAAATAACTCTGCAATGGATTCAAAGACTCATTTTCCCTCAAAGCCCATGTTTCTATTTACTTATGGAAAATCGTAATTATTACAAATAAGGTTTGCTAGCAAAAATTCCGTACTAAGAATGTAAAAGACTTCAGCACTGAAGTCACCAACCTTGAACAAAAAAGAAGAAATACAACTAACCTTGGGATCTCTCAGTTTCCCCTTTTGTTTGCAGGCCTGCCATGCCTAAGAAAGAAGTGGTGAAGTATTCAGACACAAAATGTAGTGTTTTAGTAATAATTATTACAAATACTACTAGTATAACACTTAAAACTATGAAGGTTTTTTTATATCAATACTGAAGATAACTTTTAACACCATTTTAAAAACGAAAAATTCACCTAGGCTATCACAAACTACAACTATTTCAGCACAAAAGAGTGTAAGAAAATCTGAATCACAGCAATTTAGGTTGGGGGAGACTTCTTCAGATCAATTGTTACAACACTTCACACAGCAGGCCCAACTTAGATCAGGTTTTTGAAGATGTTGCCTAAAAAACCCTGAGTAACCTTGACAGACCTCACAGATGAACCTGCTCTGAGCAGGAGACTGGACTACATACCTCCTGAGGTCCTTCCAGCCTAATTATTTAATGATTTTAGTCTAACATGATGCTTGTCTGGTTGATTCCTAAGATATAAATACTTCTCATTCTTATGAACAGTCTTAGTCTACTTTTTTTGAGGATGGGCAAGAACTCTGAGTCTTCTGCTGCTCATATGAGAGCATAAAAAGTGGTGTGGCTGCAATATGTAATTCTAGAATGTATTACTGCTGGGCTCAAAGTGTGGCAGGGTTATAAATGCTGTATTATGACACACTAAAGAATAACAATTTCTGTAGGAAGATAACTGTTCTGCCTTCAAGTCAGACTGAAAAGGAGTTTAAGCACTACTGGATGAACTGTAATTACACAGATTGCCTCAAATTTGCCATCAGCTCCTCCAGCTAAACTGGAGACACAGCATTTAAGTCACTAAATTTCTGGACATAGCTTAGAATTTCTGGATCTTGCTGCATTCCAAAGGAGACTGAACAAGTTATGTTCCAAGGTTTTAAAGAAGTAAGTCCCACTTTGTGTTGGGAGAGGTACAACAGCCACCTTGTAACACAGCCATACATAAACAGGTACCCTCCACCTAGTTTTCTGAGAGGAAAGGGATAGAGTATTAAAGCACACGAAAACGTTCATAAATTAATAGAACAAACTGGATGCTTTATTTTGATGCTGTAATAAAGCAGACTACTTTCAGAACCTTTGTTTTCTCCTCACTTTGGGACAAAAGTAAGTGAACTGACTGATTCTGATTACAGTTCTGATGCCTCCCAGAAAACAAGGCTGGAAGTGAAGTTATTAATAAAATATTAATAAAAATAAGTTCATTATTAGGTAGGAAATCTATGACATGCTGGCAGAATCCGCTGCTTCTAGTTTGAGACCTCATAATGCAATTTTCCAGCTTACTGTGGACATTGACTATTGGCATAGTTGAATAGCTAGACTGAATTTCCCCATCTTGATAGAGGCTACTCTGGAACAAATCTATTCTGAACTAGGGAATTTGAAAACAAACCTTCCAGAACTTACTTGTATTTTTCTGATAGCCATTCAAAACAAAGCTTTCACATCACTGACACACAGAGATACTGCACTGAAAGCTCTGTCTGAATGTTTGTATTTATTCTCCAGGACAACATACTGATTTATAGAAATATCATCTTGAGATTAACAGGGCATAATTACCAAGTGACATGAAGGAAATATAATATGGAATAGGAAAAGGGGAATTCAGAAAAGATTATTTTTGAGGTTCAGGATCAGTGGATATATGTGGCATGCATGCCCACGTGTGCTTCATAAAATTCTGACAGCAGAGTAGAGAAAAGCAAGTCAGTTTTCACTGAAGGACAACATATTTAAAGAACTGAATAAATTAAATTTGCAGCCGAAGATTTTGGAGCCTCTAGATTACAAAACATGTCAGAGAATGCATAATGTAAAATATTGAATAATAAGTTCCTCTAGCCTGAGTCTTCGCTACACTGTACCAGCTCTGTTTGTACCTGGAGGAATCAATCCCTGTCCATGGTACTGGCCTACCAAGCAGCCAAGCATACCAAAAAATGACATTTGTACAACATTAAAAAAAAAAAAAAATCACAAAGTCAAAGCTAAGAAGTCTAGGGAAAGGTCACCAAACTTGTTCTGTACTAGAATTTACTAGTCCCAACATCCTTACTTAGAAGAGATCAACAAATATCACCACATCTCTGGCATTTTATTTTTCGCTATTACAATAGAGACAATCAGAATTAATAGTGTTACACAGTACGACACAGCCTGCAAAAAATATCAATAAGTAGCTAGAGTAATGTGAAGTTTTTAACAACTCCAAAGCACAAATGCTGCCCTGATCCTACAAAGACGAGAATCTCTGTCTTGGTCTATCAGATTTCACCGTAATCTAAGCCAGAAGAAAAAGACTTACCTTAAATGCATTCACAATTGCAATACAGTCGCTCTTACTATTCCCAGCAAAACCCATTTTTTTCCTGGCAATGCAAACAAAAGTATTATCAACAATATTTTTTTCAAATATTGCATGTATTATGCAGCTCAGAATGCTACATTAGTAACACCTTCCAGGTCTTTATAAACAAGATTGATACACTTATTGTAATTATTTGTTCTTATTCACATCTCTCTGTTAAGGAGATGCGTTGTATAGGCAGAGTAGTAATAAAAAATCGTCCTTGCTATTTTAAAAACATTTTAATAGACACTGCCACGTGTTCACATCAGAAAGGCAAAGCTGAACAATGGGGCCTTGGGCTCAGGAAAGGATGAGTTAGCTCAGTGATTTATGATCATACATAAAGAGATTCCAGGATCTTGGCTATCTGGAAAAGCTTTTTGTACTGCTTGGCAATTGAACAGAACATGAGACTCACGACACAGAACATAATATTGAGTCATCAGCTTTGCCCTCTGCTCCCAAATGTAGTTAAGAATTCGTAAAACGTCTGGGTTACTACCTGAATCCATCAACATGTTCTTTGAAAGGTACTGCAAAAAAATTCCGCAAAGACAGTGCTGCAGCTGCAACAAAAACAAATCAAAATGAAAACCTGCAAATCATCTGGTTTTAGAGAAATGTTCTCACATGTTGTTCTTTCAGTTACCTATAATAAGGCATTCCTCCAAGCACCCGAAGACATGCCCAAGCACTATCAGTTTTCCAAGATACAGGTCCACTGGCAACTGTATCAATACTCTTCCTAGGAAAGTCAGCTCACCATCATGCAGATCTTCTTCTGTTTGCACACAGGCAAGTGCTCCCAGCTAAAGAAATTAAAATTTGTTCACTTGTAAAAGCTGACTTAGTAAATCCCAAACAATTTTTAAAGCCTAGTATACTTTGGAAATCAAAACTACTATCTATACTGGATATAAAAGCAAGCTACACATGATAAAAATATTATTTCTTATGCACTTTGGAAAATAAGAAAATGTAATGTAATAAAGATTCTACCCCTTATGAACTTTATAATTGAAAAGCAAGGTCACCAACTTCCTTGTAGAGGTAAGAAGGGTAAGAAGGCTGACCCCTACACATCATAAGGTATAAGAGTGCGATTTATTACTTATTCACTTAACAAACAATAGCGTTTACAGAGTTCAAGGTATCTTTTTTCCCCCATTTTTCTATTCTTTCTCACTATAGATGCTAGTTCACAAGTACCATTACTCCCTGATGAAATTACAATCCTGTTTCAGTGAAGTAAATTACAGAAATTATGCTCAAGAGGATGGGAACCAAACAACAGTCCAATGTGTGAAAAGATTCTCTAGACACAGTTAATATTTGAGGTTCCAATTAAGGCTACTACTACCTTAAATACCAAGAAAACCACTTCTACAGTACATTTCTATTACCTTGATTTTAACAACACTAAAAGGAAGCCTACCTCTTTCAGCTGAACTATGGTACGTTCGATGTCATCTACATTGGGTGGAGAAAGAGCTGTTGCCAGTAAGGTTTTTGGTTCCCCCATATCAAGCTTTTTTAATTTTAAGACTGTACTTCCCAATGGACAACGCTGAAGGGAAGACAACACTATTTTTACTTTCTCCCCATGGGAACTGTGACAAAGTGTTCTATATGAGAAATAGGTTAAAATTCACAATTTGCAAAACCTGAAATTAATTTTGTGTAACTAAGGTTATTTTTGTTTTGAGCAGATTGCTTATTACTAATCCACATTGATTTTATTGGTATAATGCATCTCCTTCTATAAGAAAACTATGTGGAATAGTCTTTGTTAGTTTTCTACTCATTGCTACAGCCATTAGTAACCTATCCAATTGTACACTGTCTTCAGGAAAAATAAAGCAAAACTTTTTCTTCTCTGCTATGATCGCATGCATTAAAAAACCCCTTAATATTCCTAACCCTAAACCCAAAGGTCTTACCAGTATCTCAGGTTCTGACTTCTCTGGAATAAAGTTTGTCCAGAAAGCTTTGCACACCAGCCTGTAACAATACCCTCTGGAAACTCGTCCAGCGCGACCTTCACAGAACAAAAAAAACCCCAAATCACCAATTTGTAAAGTGCCCAGACCCATCCATCCACAAACCCTCTGGGCAGCTGAGCAGCAAACAACAGCTGATGCTGCAGGCTGAGCAGTGTTCTGCTCCCTTGCAGCAGACAGGCCCAGTGGTCAGATAAGGGTAGGATGAAAACATTTTTCCCTCAAAGTAGCAGTAACTAACAAAAGAGTTACGTAAGTATTTCTCTCAAATACCTCCTTCATATAACTGCCCTCAAATCAACATCCATTTTCCTCAGTTGAACAGGCATTTCCTCTTTTACTCTATTGCTAGCAAAAAAATCTATATAAACAACTTTTAAGATACAATGACAACCAGCAAGACATCTTTATGATCTACTATTTACAGAAAACACAGTGATTCAGAAGTCTATCTTCACAAATCCAAACACCATCTACTTCAAGACACTAAATCTCCCTGTCTTCAACTCAAACCTTGAGCCTTCTGTCATCATTTCCCCCCCTCCCGGGCCAGTTGAGGAGAGGGGAGTGGTAGAGCAGCTTTCGTGGGCACCTGGCACCCAGCTGTAATTGTGAAGTCCTAATAACATTTAAGAAAGGTTATTAATTTATTTAGTACCATTTTTGACTGAAACTAAAAGATGTTGATATTAAAGAGTACTGTCTTACTAGAATAGTCAATATAAAATCTTATCTAGCTTTATGCTATGAATACTGGTCTAAACTAGAGACTTTGCTGTGGATATTTCAACTGATTTAATGGTGACACATAGACATGAAAGTTTCTTTTACTGTTGGAACTCACAAGCACTTAATAAATACCTAGCAGTACCTATCTCCTCTTTTTAAAAATGGCCCATAATAAAAAAATTACTATTAAATAACAAAAAAATCCATGGTCCATTTATGGTCCATAAATTTTAATATTTTTTAATAAAATACAAAACATTCCCCTGGAAAAAAATCCTCGAGCAAAATAAAACATTCGTGCATGGTTGTTTAATCACATTTTTATATCCTGACATGGTGAAGAATTATCAACTATTAGTGGCAAAAATAGTCTGTTCTTTTTACTGTTAATAAAATGAAAAGCAACATAGAATTCTCCATAGAGGTGAGCTTCTAAAATTCCTTTGCATTACCTATTGTCATCTTACCTTTTCTTTGATTACAGTTTGTTTTAGATGCCCAGCAAAGTCTCAAACTTTGGTAATTAGTTTCCTTATCACAAACCAAAGCTTTAGTTAAGCAGAAATCTATCACTGCAATTAAGAAAAGAAATAGTACATTATGAAACAACTTATCCTCATGGCAGTGGAAATAAATATTGGTTGATTTTGTACTATCAGAAAAGGAAAGTTTAAATAACTTGAATAGCAATAAAGAGAACACCAGATTCATAAAATAACAGGCCCAGGATACTCTGAATGCTAACAGAACTGGGAAGAGATTTTAATGTATATATAACAAAGAATTAGTGTAGATGACAATCATTAAAAGGCAATAATTTCTGCATTTAGAAATTCTGTATCAGAACTGGTTAAACTGATGCATTTATTTCAAAAGGTAGTCAGAATGTGATTTAAAAGCTTAACTTTTTGACATGAGGTCTGATTCTGCTTGTTACTGCATTTAAAATTACCTCCCCAGTGAAGATTAAAACCAACCCCCCACTCAGTAGCTCTATTTGTTCGTATATTCAGATTTCTCTGTTCTCCACTGTGAAAGCAAGAATTCAACAACTGCCAAAATTCCCCTCCAACAGCAATACTCTGTAAAATGACATGTTGTGCAGACTTAACCTAGCACGAGTAAGGAAAATATTACAAATACAGTGTATACGGAATTACAGGATTTAGATGACTTACCATACTTAACATCAGGAACTGTTACAGAGCTCTCAGCTATGTTGGTAGCTAGAATAATCTGAGTTTTGAAGCAAAAAATGAGCAATGAATGCATAAAGAAAAATACTGATGTTAATGTTTCTACATGAAAAACCCAATTTGCTATGAATAAATATAAATATAGTGGCAACACAGCATTTCTACTCTGTATACTTAAAAAAGCAATATGACACAAGGCAATACAAGAAAACTTTATTTTCTTGTTCCAAACTCAGAAAAATGTAATAAAGTAGTATAGCAGAGGACAATATAGAGGAAGAATGGAAATATTTCATGCCTTTGCCATAACAAAACCTCATACTATCAGCAGCAATATTTTATTAGTGATAGCAGGTGAAGAAGACCAAGACAACAGACAAAATGTGGGGACAAAGCAGGTAAGAGTCCCCCAAACCAGGGGACTACTTCACTATTCAGTGCCACCAGCAGCATACTACTGTCATACAGGTGCAAGAATCAACATGCACAAACTACTCTGAAGGATAAAATGAGCATCACACAATAGTCTAAGGATAACTTCCCGTTACTGCACTTCTCTTGAGGTCCAAACACCAGTTAAAACAACAGCTTGGTAAGAAAGGCAATCAGTTCACACACTGAAGACTGAAACTGCTTTGTCCTCACAAAATGATCTGAGTTAGAACAGATAATATTACTTATATACCTTATTATTTGCTATTACTACTCGGGCAAAAGGTTTCACATGCTTTAGAAAAGTAATGATTCAGCAATATTTACTTTTCTGTAGCCAGGAACTGTAGCCAAAAATACTTCATTTTGTTCCTCTAATGTCACACATGAGTGAAGTGGGTACACTTGCCACCTAAAGAAAACATATTAGTGCAAGAATATAAAAGTTGATTACACTTCTGTGCTAAATCCTATTACGTACTTAGAACTTATATAGCTGAAAAACTCATGTTCAAGCTTAACTGAACTAAAACAAATGTGGTCTAACTTACCTTTTAAACTTATCTGAGAGGCATGAGTGCATGTATCTTATCTCAGCCAAACCTAGGGAAAAAGTAACCATGACTTTGTATTCATTTTACTCAACACTAACAATTCTAAAACATCTATTTCAATTCTTTTTTGACTTTCATTCTTACCTTCCTTTCACTATATAATAAAATGGCAGAAGAGTTAAACAGCAAATGTAATAATGAGTCACTGAAACAGAGTGAGTCAATTTTTCAAGAGCCATTCTGCATTAATTTTACACTTATTAAAGTGAAATTGCAACAGCAGATATAAAGGCCATCTGACAACATCCCATTATTAGCCCTCATATCAGTTTCTTACAATTGACAGTGTTCTCCACATGCTGAATGTCTGGTTTAGGCTACTTCATTCAAAATAAGTTCTTTCAAAGAGCAGGGTCAAGGGGAAAAAAAACCCTATTTCTGCCTTAGCCATCTTGTCTTGAGCAGCTGCAGTGCCCATTCTCTGGGTCATGGATTTCACTGCCAGGGGAAATCCTATGACTAAGGGATTTTTGCTACATTCTTGAATACCTGCATAAACATTTCTGAGAAACTGGTTTACTTGTTATTGAGACTTCAATTTCAAAAGTCCCATTTTCAAAATCTGCACCACACAGAGTTTCCCTGGTCGGATATTAAAAATGAAATTATTCTGTAACTGCAGTACAGGATTGCTGCAATTTTCAGCAAAGGCCAAATGCAGTTTAAGTAACTGGATGTGAAATCTTTATGCATTCTTTATATGACTGGCACCTGACTTCAGGTGATGTATTAGACATATACTCACCTGGCAAAAACACTAGCACACTGCCACGTTCCAACGCATCCCTCAAGCTGTCTTCCTCCCTAACAAGAATATGAAGTTTCATTAGTTTTACAACCTCAGTCTAACTTCATTACCCCAAGTTATTTTATTCTGAAAGAACAAGCAGAACTGCACACTTTTTGTACCATGCATTATTTAAACTTCTGAAGAAAGGAAATTCAAACCATTACTTGCAACTACGTTTTCTGAAAAGCACAGTATATACATTGCAACTAGAGCATTAGGTTTAACTTCTTCCTCAAAATAGAGGTTTTGCCAAAATAGAAACATTCTTATTCAGCAATGAAATTAATCAGAATTAGGTTACCAAATATCCTAAACTCAGAACACAGTATACTACTGCATAATGATATGCAAACTCATTCAGTAATTCTTTAAGTATCTGTAATGCCCTTGTATTCTAAAAATACCACTGGAACCTTGAACAAAAGCCAAACAAGTATAAATCTCAACCATTATTATCAAGAACTACAGGTCATGACAGACGTGGAGAGAGCCATCTTCGACTGATCTGTTGTGAGTCAAAATCACCTTAAGAGAATTTAGAGCTCACATTGTTCTGCTGTATTCATTCCTGGTGTAAAATTTTTTCAGGTATTTTTCAGTCTCTACTCTAAAACTATATAATAAACAGAAAGCATAGTTTTTACTGGAAGGTACATAACAATGTGCATATCAGCCCTTTCAGTATTCGAAAGTTGAAATGCTAATTCCTTCATGTTTACTTATTAAAGGTAGCTTATCAGTAAAAGGTAGCATAATTTGGCTATTACAGTAGAACAGCTTAATTAATTAAATCAAAAGAAATAACCAAGAAAGAAGCTTAGAAGTCACTATACATTGTAAAAATGTCAGAACCAAGTTTTTTGTATTTATGTACCTCCATGAACAGTTGTACTTCGGTGGTTCACCTAATAACTGCTCAAATGAGCTTAATTAACATTTTCTTAAAATGTCAAAGTTTATATAATACTAAGTTTGAAAGGAAAAAAAAATTAAGCTTACAGAACAAAATTACTTCTCCAACACACTTTTATAGATTATTAGAATATATGGAAACAAAAAACATTCCTAAACTTAATATACAATGTTAGATCAAAGTTGTAAGAGCAACTTCATTACATTTTCAGATACTAGATATCAATTTACAAAACACAGAGAGCAACGCAAATCAGTATTTACTTATTTCAAATTGCATTAAGGTCTTAAACAGCCAGTGAAAATTATTGCCTAGTTTTAATTTTTTTTTCCATGGATTATTATATGTTTTAATTTATAATACAAAATAGTAGCTCCAGTTTTATTCTTCATATAAACAATATTTGGCTCTGGTCTACAGCAAAGAATATAGTTTCCATACAACGTGGTTGTCTTGAATGATCACTTACGCTCCAGGGCAGGAAGTGTATTTCAAGAACACAGGGTAGAAATCAAACAAATATATAAAATAAAAGCAGAGATATATGTAAAATTAAGTTACCACTAACAACTATAATACATGGGCTGCTGCTGCTTAATTAGTGCCTCATCTCCCCAAGAACCTCCGATTCCAGATTTTGAACTGTGTCTTACCTCTTCATCTCAAACTCATCAAATGACTCAATCAGAGACACTGCTACATCATACATATTCTTTTTTATCACTGGTTCCTCGATGCTTTGAGAATGAAGCTGTTTGGAGAAGAAGGTATTGAGGTTAGCACAGTGGAACAGGCAGAAAGACTGTAGCTCACATATGTATTTCAATTTGTCAAGTGCTTTTCAATTAAAACTGATCCAGCACAGAAGCCTGTACAAAGAAGTAACTTCATCTGATGTGCTCATTATCTTCTAAACAGGCATTTTTCTTCAGGCATGTAACTATTTTTATGCTAAAGGAGTACTTCTGGTATTTACCCACTTAAGATAAGCACCAGGCCACACTTCATTAGTTTGCAGGACATACTCCTTTATCCAGGAGCGTTAAGCACATGAGAGTGATCACAACCCATGGAAACAGGATGACAAGGAGAGGAATTTGTGTAAGGAAGGTACAATGCTTCTCACAGCTACTATACTGCAGGTCTCTACCTGACTGCACAGAAATCACGTACCTTACTAATGTAAATTGGTTTTGCATTTAAAGGATCTTGTGTTTTAGGTCATACCCTGTCAAAAGATTACTGTTCTGTTGTACATAACAGAACCATGATGATTCTGCCTACGCTATTTTCTAGCATTCTGAGACATACTCAAGGTTGTAAAATTTAAGAACACAAACAATCAAGTCTTCAGAGCAAACACAGTAACTTAGTAACTTTCCAGTTCTAAAATCAAACGTTTAATGAACTAGACATGCTTTGGAAAAGGTCTATAATGTTACACATTTTTCTGTTGTAGAGAAAGTGGGTTTTGATTGTTGCTCACCTCCTCATTCTAGGGAAAACTCATTACTGGACCAAGAGTTTCAGAGCTAAAAATCACAGAGAACTGAACTATCTAAACTATTA